AAAAATCTCTCTTCCTAATAAAATATGTTGATTTCTACTTTCCCATTCGTACAATAATTCTGCATTAAAATTCTATTCTAATATTAAAAAATAGTGTAATACAATCTATCTATACTATATATAAAACCAAAATCCTGAAGTTTTAACTTCCCGCCCAATTCCTAAAAAAATCTCTCTTCCTAATAAAATATATTGATTTCTACTTTCCCATTCGTACAATAAATCTGCGTTAAAATTCTATTCTAATATTATAAAATAGTGTAATACAATCTATCTATACTATATATAAAAACAAAATCCTGAAATTTTAACTTTCCGCCCAATTCCTAAAAAATCTCTCTTCCTAATAAAATATATTGATTTCTACAATAATTCTGGGTTAAAATTTTATTGTAATATTATAAAATTGTGTAATACTATTCCTATTTTAATCTATATCTATTTTATATATCAGTGTTGCAAAAATCGTGTCGCTGGCCGCGACGAGGAAGGCCGGAATCAGCCTCCTCAGCGGCCGCCTCGCCGGCTGAACCGGCCTTTAATTTTATTTTTTTTTAAGTTGTAAAGTGTCAAAAGTTCAGCAAGGCATAACTTTTGACTCCGTTGTCCGTTTTGGACAAATATTTTTTTAAATCGCGTATTTTTTCGAGATCTATCCACCGCAAACTGCCGTAGGCGGTTTGGCCCACCAATTTCTGAAAAAAAAAATACTTTATTAAAGAGTTTCTAAGAAAAAACTATGAGAACCTTATATTTTATTAATGAATTTTTAAATTTTTTAATTAAACAATTATCCCGTTCATTATTTAATAATCTTTCTTTATAATTGGTCAAATTATTTAATTATGGTAAATTTGGGAATAATTAATGATGGTAATAGAAATCCTAGAAGAATATAGAATTGAACAATATTTAATTATTGTTATATTATTATTGTGACTCACGGAATACAAGAGTTAATGCCATTTTGGTCCTAGACTTATTGGGGCATTGACACTTTTCATCCTCCATAATAAAAATTGCCACTTAGTAGCCACTGTTATTGATCGTTGGACAGTTTTGATCCTCCGTCAATGACGCCGTTTGTTGACCGTGAATTAGAAGGGTTTTTCTGTCTTTTTATGTTCTAATCCTTGTATTTCTCCATCTATTGGTCACTACTACATCCATTTCTTCAAACTGAGGTTATCCGCTTCAGTCCTTTCTAACATTAAGAAACCATCTTCACACACCCATGCTTGTGGAAATTTTGTCGAGCATACAACATAACTAGCAAAGTCAGGAATATCACCCAACTTCCCTTAACCTTTCTGCATCAACTATAATAGGTATGCCCCAACTCTTTGCCTCCTGCACTACAATCAAAGCAGTCTCATGCAGCCTTCCATCTAAGTAGACAATATTTACTCCAAGCGCTGAAGACAATTTTGATTTGGGTATGTAGACCCTCAGATATCATGGGTGGATATCCTGGAGTGAAGATGCACGTGCGAGTTTTTTTTTTTTTTTTGGGTTGTCAACAATGACATATGTGAATGGTGAGTTTCCTCCTTTGGACACCACCATAAAAGATGTATCAACACCATCCCTTTCAAGTTCATAAAGTATTCTTTCGCCATGCGAGTCATCAGCAACCTTATATATGATCCTTGGATTAAGACCAAGACGAATTTTATCATCCGGATTTTATCAAAGCATTGCCAGTGTTACCACCTCCTTGAACCTCAAAGCTGGTGCTCCGAATTTTATCATCCGGGTTGGGGAATGCAGCTACAACAGCCAGGAAGTCAACACCGGCCATTCCAACACCTCAAACAATGCGATTTTTGGGGAGCGGCGAATTCCACATTTTCAGCTTGAAACTTCAATGAATTTCAGGTAGAATAACAGAGTTTTTGAGGTTGTGCACCAAGTAGTTGTGGTTAGAGAGAGAGAGAGAGATGGGAAGGATATTTGTGGTCAATATGGAAGGGAGGACTTACAGGTGCAAATTCTACATCACGCCATCTACAACTACAACTGCTATTTACCATAGGAGGGTTCGCCAACCTGCTGCCCTCTCTGCTTCGCCGGAACCAAAAACCACCGATGAAGGCCCCAACCTCGCCGGATCTGTTGCTGCACCGCCAGATCTGCCTTACTGGTCCGTCGCCGGAAGGAGTTACTGCCTCGTATGCTCGCCGCCGTACCCACAACTCGCCGGAGAAGAACCTCGCTGCTACTCACTACCGACGATTACTACTTAGCCGCCAAGTCTCGCCATCTCGCCTCACAGGAGTCACAACAGCGCTGGTCTAAACAAGATTAGAAGAATAAGACATAAAAAGACAGAAAAGCCCTTCTAATTCACGGTCAACAAACGGCTTCATTGACGGAGGATCAAAACTGTCCAACGACCAATAACAGTGTCTACTAAGTGGCAATTTTTATTATGGAGGATGAAAAGTGTCAATGCCTCAATAAGTCTAGGACCAAAAATGGCATTAACTCCGGAATACAATACAAGAATATTTAATTATGGTTATATTATTATTGTGCCTCACGACCATTATATATTAACAGAACTTGAAAAGAAACTAATAATAATAATAATAATAATATAATAATAATAATAATAACATAAGTGGTAATAATAATATCTAAAAGTAATTAAGTGTTAATAATAATAGTAAGAATATTAACTTAAGAGTTGTAACATAGAATAAATTGTAATAATTAATAACTATAGTCTAGGATTAAATTTGGAATTGTCAGGAAAGATAAACGACCTCTGGTGAAATTAACTCTTAAATAATTATATATCGATTTAAATATTCTTAATATATTACAACAATTCCATTCCGTGCATCGCACGGGTGAAAATACTAGTATATATAATAACAAAATCCTGGAATTTTAACTTCCCGCCCAATTCCTAAAAAATCTCTCTTCCCAATAAAATATATTGATTTCTATTTTCCCATTCGTACAATAATTCTGCGTTAAACTTCTATTCTAAAATTTTAAAATAGTGTTATACAATTCCCTTTGTACATCTATCTATATCTATACTGTATATAATAACAAAATCCTGGAATTTTAACTTCCTGCCCAATTCCTAAAAAATCTCTCTTCCCAATAAAATATATTGATTTCTACTTTCCCATTCGTACAATAATTCTGCGTTAAACTTCTATTCTAAAATTTTAAAATAGTGTAACACAATTCCCTTTGTACATCTATACTTCTATACTATATATAATAACAAAATCCTGGAATTTTAACTTCCCGCTCAATTCCTAAAAAATCTCTCTTCCCAATAAAATATATTGATTTCTACTTTACTATTCGTACAATAATTCTGGGTTAAAGTTGTGATGTGTCAAAAGTTCTGCAAGGCATAACTTTTGACTCGGTTGTCCGTTTTGGACAAATGTTTTTTTGAAATCGCATATTTTTTCGAGATTTATCCACCGCATACTGCCGTAGGCGGTTTGGCCCACCAATTTCTAAAAAAATGCTTTATTAAATAGTTTATAAGAAAAAACTATGAGAACCTTATGTTTTATTAATGAATTTTTAAATTTTTTAATTAAAAAATTATCCCGTGCATGCATTATTTGATAATCTCTCTTTATAATTGGTCAAATTATTTAATTATGGTAAATTTGGGAATAATTAATGATGGTAATAGAAATCCTAGAAGAATATTAGAATTGAAGAATGTTTAATTATTGTTATATTATTATTGTGACTCACGGAATACAATACAAAAATATTTAATTATGGTTATATTATTATTGTGTGCCTCACGGCCATTATATACTAACAAAACTTGAAAAGAAACTAATAATAATAATAATAATAATAATAATAATAATAATAATAATAATAATAATAATAATAATAATAATAATAATAATAATAATAATAATAATAATAATAATAATAATAATAATAATATAAGTGGTAAAAATAATATTTAAAAGTAATTAAGTGTTAATAATAATAGTAAGAATATTAACGTAAGAATTATAACATAGAATAAATCGTAATAATTAATAACTATAGTCTAGGATTAAATTTGAAATTGTCAAGAAAGATATGCGACCTCTGCTGAAATTAACTCTTTATCGATTTAAATATTCTTAATATATTACAACAATTCCATTCCGTGCATCGCACGGGTGAAAATACTAGTTATTATTAAAAAACTTAGAGGACGGAGTTTTAAAAATATTGATTGGAATGATTACTAATATTGATGTCAGTTAGGTAAGAATTTATAATGAGAATAAAAGTTTTAAAAATACAAAAATAAAAAATTAAGGTAATTTTTTTTTGAAAGGAAAAATCAAGGTAATTAATCCTATTATAATGATATCTATCCAAAATATTAATATGAACAAAAAATCAAAACAATTGCCTGAGCCTACTTGTTACTCTCAGACGGTCAAGTTTCTTGAGTGGCATGATGCAATGGACGCGGAGTTCAATGCCTTGGTCCATAATCATACGTGGCGTCTCGTTCCATCTCAACCAGGTATGAATGTTGTTGGTTGCAATTAGTGGGTTTTCAGAACCAAACGGAAGGCCGATGGTTCAATAGACCGTCATAAAGCAAGGTTATAAGTAGCCAAGGGTTTTAATTAGGTTGTTGGAGAGGAATTTTTTGAAACCTTTAGTCCTATGGTTAAGCTCACTACGGTTCGTCTTCTCTTATCTTTAGCTGTATCTCGTGGGTGGATATTCACAACGCCTTTTTAAATGGCGAGTTAACTGAAATTGTTTACATGCGACAACCACCTGGTTATGAGGATAAGTCGTTACCTAATCATGTAGGTTTGCTTAAAAAATCTATATACGGTCTCAAACAGGCTCCACGTGCATGATTCACAAGACTACATGATTTTCTTGTCTCTATGGGCTTCTCGCCTTCTAAGACGGATGTATCTCTTTTTATCTACTTTTGTGACAATATTCGTCTTTATTTCTTGGTGTATGTTGATGACATTTTAATTATGGGTTCTGACTTAGATCATGTTACTGCTCTTATTGATAAATTAGCACTTGAATTTAAGGTTCGTGATATGGGTGTGCCTTCTTTCTTCTTGGGAATAGAAATTGTCCCATTATCTAGCGGTATGCTTTTATCCCAACAACGGTACATGAAGGATATTCTCAAACGTGTTGGCATGGTGGACTGCAAGTCAGTAATCAGGCCTGTCTCTTCTGCGAAAATCACAGACGACGTGGCCGTTCCCTATGCCAATCCAACACAATACAGGAGTCTTGTTGGTGCTCTCCAGTATCTTACGGTAACTCGTCCGGATCTATCTTATGTTGTTAATCTATTGTGTCAACATATGCATGCTCCCACTACTACAGACTGGGCCTCTCTAAAGAGAGTCCTGCGGTATGTCAAAGGCACCCTGAATCTTGACCTGCGTATTTCTCGGTCTACATCTATGGATATTCATGCCTATTCTGACTCAGATTGGGCTGGCGATCCGAATGACCGCAAATCTACTAGTGGCTTTGCTGTGTTCTTGGCCAGTAATCTTATATCTTGGGTTTGTCGAAAGCAACGGACTGTGGCACGTTCTTCAACTAAAGCAGAATACAAGGGACTCGCTGATGTATCTGCAGAAGTTCCATGGCTCGTTTCTCTGTTACATGAAATCGGCATCCTGCCTGCGCCTCCTCCTCGACTATGGTGTGATAATTTGGGAGCTACTTATTTATGTGCCAATCCAGTGTTTTATGCCCGCAAAAAGCACATTGAGATTGGCTATCATTTTGTTCGCGATAAAGTAGCCAAAAATGAGTTAGAAGTGTAGTTTATTTCAACCAAGGATCAACTAGCGAATATTTTCACAAAGTCTCTGTCGTCTCTTTGTTTTGACTCTATCCGTGACAAGCTCAATGTTTTGGCCAGACAACCTTGTGCTTGAAGGAGAGTATTAGGACTATATTATTCATATTAGATTAGGACTATATTATTCGTGTTAGACTAGGATTCTATCTAGCATGTCTATATATTCGCTCCATGTATTCTCAGATATTATTATTGAATACAAAACAATTATATTCTCATCGTTTTTATGATATTTTGTGAACACGGGTTCTTTGCACCCCCCATATCCCCCCCCCCCCCCCCCCTCCCCTCTTTGTCATGTATTGTGGAAAAAAAAGGTAATATTCCAAATACAAAATTTCTAAGTCATCTAATGACGCCAAAGACCACTGCTTTCGTTTCATTTTCATTAACACTTAATTTCTCTACTACTACTGTATTGTCTGTTTCATTTCTCTTTAATCTTTTTGAAGAGAAATATCTTTTCAACTAAATTTTATTTTATTTTGATATTATTTCTTAATTAATTAATTATTGTGTATTAGAAAAAAAAAAAAAAAGATAAAACATACTCCGTATTAATTAGTTCACTTATAAATATTCCTAAAACATTTTAATTTGGATTCCTAAAACATGTCAACCTATACTTTATTGGGAGAATATTACCTTTTATTAGTTATATATATAGGTTGCGCTCTTCAATGATTATTTTACTTTTTTTTTTTTTTATTTCCATTTGTTCTTCAAAAAAAAAAAAAAAAAAAGTAATCTAAACGATCACATTTGCATCAGTGTTTTGAATGGATCGTTATGTTGTGCATCCGTGTACACCATGCATATGGTGCATACGGATGTAAAAATGACATCGTTTTGACTACAAACATCCGTATGTACTATGCATGGTGCATACGGATGCACAACATAATTTGCCGTTTTGAATTGGCCGGACCAGGCCGGGGATAAGAAAGCTATTTTAAGTTCATACCAATTTCATATAAAAACATATGTAAAGATCAGAGATAACAATGTTAATATATATTTAGATAAAGTATTGAAAAGTTGATCATATGTATATTGTAAAAATATATTGAAAAAAAAAAAAAGATACGGATTAATAATTGTTAAAAGTATGAAATTTCTTAGTCCACACATATATATATCTCCAAAGACCTTTATTGCTTTCAATAATTCATTTTCATCAGAGTCTAATTTTTCTAGTGTGCCTATTCCATCAATTTCATTATGACTAGATGTTTTACGCGCAAATGCCCAATGATTATTTTTAATAAGTATTTCAAAGTATATTAATGCAATATTATACCGGACATCATGCGTAGGTAAATAAATATTGAGGGTGTGTTTGGTTCGCACATGGGAATCGAAATCGGAATGGGTATCAAATACTTGGTAATGAGTTTTGGTGAAAGTATTTAACATGTTTTGTAATAGTGTGGAATGAGAATTATTACTAATAGTAATGCTTGAGAATTAATAAGGGAATGAAATCCTTATTTTATTTGGGTATGGATTTTTCAAATGATGAGGTATTCAAAACCTATAGTAGTGTTCTAAAAACATATTAACCAAACAATAACAATCACTTTCATACTCATTCCTATGGGCAAAACCCATCAACCAAACACACCCTGAATTTGTCTAAAGTATATAAATACAAGATAATATATGAGAGATTGATTTTATTGTCACTAATAAAATAAATGTTTGCAACTTTGTAATAATGTTAGTCTAAATACTTAGTCTAAAAACGATAGTATAAATAAATACAACTTTTGGTTTAAATTTCTCTAATTCTTCTTAATTCTCTTTTGGGTAGCATTGTCATTGTCTTCATCTTCAGTACATGTCATTTTTTTTTATTGGTAGTGTGTCATGTGCAATTGGGTTACTGGTGATAGCATAGATTAATTCACCGTGCAATGAGATTATGGTGTAAGAAGCTTTAGATTTACCTTGTTGGGTATATAATGAGATCTTAGTTGTACAATTAACTCTTTATCTTACAAGCACCTATTGATATTTGGTAGTGATAATTTTTCCCCTACATGTTTTATGCGTTGTAAGATGTGAGTCGTAGGTTATCATGTGAAAGTATTGAACAAAATATTAATATTTTTTATATTTGTATAAAATACTTGGTAAATAAATATATATAACATATTTTGTATTATAACTTTGATATTTAATTACAAGATAATGTAAAAAGCTAAGAAGACAATGGATAATGTAGTGAATATAATAAATTAATAAATTTGAAGGTAATGAATCTTTGAATTGTAGAAAATAAAGATAATATAACTAATGAAATTATATCTCTTTTAAAATTTTTTATAATGAATAATTTTTTTAAATAAATGCATTATAAACATCTAATTCTAAATTAATTAAATGCATATGTATTATTTTTTGTTGTAGCTACTTCTTTATTTAATTTAATAAGAGTAATAAAGTGGCGTACATACTTTTCATCAACAATAATGAAATCATTGATTTTCTGTTTTTTTTTTAATTTACATTCATTGTTGAGACAAATTATTTTGAGAGTTTGCCAATGACAATCGTTACAGTCCCTGTCAATAGAGGATGATAACAAATAATTCAAAATATATAGTTACAATAGATATTGTTATAATGATATAGTAAAAATTAACTTACAAATTTCTTTAGAAGTTTTCATGCATTGATAAAATTCTGATGTGTAAACTTGTTCAATAGGAGCTAGTGGGATGTCAACATTGTCAATTCGTTAGAAAATGGTCTTACCGTTTTTGAGTCTAAGTGTAATTGTATTTATGATCAACAACTTTGTAGTTAGGTCGCGCAAGCCTAATAATGATGTAAGAACAATTTTGTCCGATAAAAAAATAATAGTATAATATTTGTAAAGTAATGTACAATTGTACCATTATAAAAATACATATAAAAAATATTAATACCATAACGACCTAAATCATACCAATAATGCAAAAATATAATTGAAATATTAAATTTTGTTCTTATCTAAATAATCAAAATTAAAGAAGATTAATTAAACGAAAAAAAAAACTTAACCTAAATTTGTTTTTTTTTTTAAATGGATAAAAATCAAATGATTTTTAAAGTTCTTGATTTATAATCTTTGATGTTTAACTTTGAATGCTATGTATTTTGCCGGACTAATTATTTGAACAAACTTTATATTAAATTTTACATTATATATATATTTTTTAAAATATATTTTAACATATTTGTAGTGTATGTTTACCAATTATGCCAACTCTAATTGGGATGTGGTTCGAAACTAAGATATTTCTTATAGAATTTAATGAGTAAGTTAAAAATAATAAATAGTTTACGAAATATTCCGTTACTAAAGTTTAAACTAACAGAATTTAGGTTATTTAAGGAAGAAAATAATATAATAGAGGGTAAATAAGAAAAATCATTAAAAAAAAATATTAAAATCAAAATAATATGAACTATTTAAGAAATAATATATACTACCTATATTTTTTTGTTCCAGTTAAAGGCCTAACATTATTGGCTCTTATTAGAATTGTAGATGTAGATGTAGATGTAGATGTAGATTTTAGATGCAGATAGAAATGGTTGTTCTTTCACCGTGTGCTTAGTTCAAGAAAATAGCTCGGAATGAAATACCATTCTTGTATTTAGACATCATCGAGGACTTTTTATTTTCTATATGCCAACTTGATACTACTGCCGTTGGTCTTGTCTTGCTGTGAGGTTATCATTTGATAAGTCGTCGCTTTATTCAAAATTAATGTATTAGAAATATTTTCAGGTGCGAAGGAGTTGTCAGGTGAAAAATACGCAACAATCTCATCAGTCATTAATTTCATCTAATCTACTTGGCTTAAAAAAAAAGATACAAAAGCATGCACTTGAAGACATAAAAATGTACACTTGAAGACGTAAATTTTACACTCGAAGGCATAAAGATGTGCAATCGAAGCAAGTTATAGTACCAAAAAAAAGGAAGTTATTCAGCTTTTAAGTGTTATTGAAGCAATTATCCTTATAAATCGTTAGTAAATCTTACAAATTTCCATTAGAAATTTAGTTATAAGTTGTTGAAAGGAATGCAAAAGATATAACAAATAGTCAAATACAGGCTCATAATTGTGCACCCAAAATTCTGCACTAGAAGGCAAAATGATGTGCAATCAATGCAATTTATGATATCAAAAAGAAAATTATTCAACTGAAGTGTTATTAAAGCAATTACCCTCCCAAATCATTTAATTTGTAAATCTCACAAATTTCATTATTTGGTTCTAGTTATTTCATTTTTCAAAATGAATATAAATTCATCTCTGCATCATATTTTTACCCATATTGAAGGAAATGTGATTACTTTCCATTTCTTAAATAATCTTAGGTTCCCTTGAAATGTGATTACTTTCCATTTCTTAAATAATCTTAGGTTCCCTTACTCTTTTTATTCATTTGGTCATTTTAACCATTGTTTTATCTTCTAACAATGTCATTTCGACTTTGTCTTTTATGCCAGTGTGGTCAGGCGTGCCTGACGCGCCCGTGTGGGCGGTTGTTGTGCGCGAAACGCGTACAGCAGCCCATGTTCCTTTTTTTTTTTCTACCATTCTTCTCAACTTTATAGGTCAATTCTTCACCATTTTATTTCTCCCCCACACTTATTATTATTCCCATTCAAGTGAAAGCATCTGACATTTTTCTAAAATTAATTTCTATTGTAGATGCTCTTAGAGCAGGGATCAAGAATTTCCATGGGGGTAGGGAGAAATTGTCATCCCGATGTCTAGCAACAAGGTAGCGGTGCGAACCTCACCATAGCTAATTTGGAGTCCGGCTCCCTAGGATGCTAGAGTTGGGGCACTTAAGTCAAATTGATGTTGATGTTGGATACGATATGTGTAAGAAGGGCAAGTTATTGTATGGACCTTGGTCCACACAGTGTTGTATGGATCATAATAAAAAGTATAC